TCTTTTTTTCTCCAGACTTTGCTAAAATGACAAAGAGATGCTCTTGAATTATATCAAGGGACCCTTGGGTTACAAACTCCTTTTTGCATTAGAGAATACTCTGAAATTTTTACCTGATATATTAGAATTCTATTATAAACAAACCTTCTTTGGCAAATGCAACCATGATATTGAATCCCTTAGTTGCAAACTGTTTTTTCTTTTTTCAATTGAGAGGCTGAAAAATTTTCCAAATCAAATTCTGTTTTTCTCTTAATTCTTTTCTACATTTACTTTATTCCATCTCAGACAGTTTCCATTAAAAAGCAATGAAGCCACATAATCTTTTGTGTCAAGATGTCCTCACACAATATAAAAACTCCTACATGAATATTGTGAACACTTTCCCTTCTAATACTTAAAACTGGGATGAAGGTCCCAAATGTCAATTATAATAGTTCAATTGTGTTACACATACACCACAACTCAATAATTTTACAGTGAGCTATTCATATATCAATGTGTATGAATCTGAAAATAATCATGCTGTATAATATGAAACAGAAAAGTTTGTAGTTATAATTACATAAAATTCTTTAAAAGGCAAATTTGTTTGTACTGAAAATTAAATCAGTAGTTGCCAAGAATGGAGTGTAAGAAGATAAGACATTAAGGGGCTAGGTGTGGTGATGCACTCCTAATAATCCCCGTACTTAGGGAGGTTGAGCCAGGAGTATCACTGTCAGTTTGAGGCCACCCTGAGCTACAAAGTGAATTCAAGGTCAGCCTGAACCTCCATGAAACCATATCTGTCATGGTTTATGTCTGTGTCCCCCAGGCCTCATGAGTTTGCATTGTGCACTTGCGATTGGTTCATTGTTTAGTGCTTGGATTGATGGTGTCAATGCTACACCCACATAGGGGTGGAACCAGGATGTGATGTAATGGCAGGAAGAAGGTGTGTCTTGCTCTTTGCTGGTTTTTGCTTGCTGTTTGCAGCCACCATGAAGTGAGGCCCAGCCATGCCTGCCTGCCTTAAAGCCAACTGAGTGTGGACTGAAACCTCTAAAAACTGTAAGAAATAAACCTTTCCTTTCCCAACTTGGGCATCAGGTACTTTGTCTCAGCAATGAGTAAAAAGTAACTAAGAATTTGGTACCGAGGAGTGGGGTCGTTTGCTGTGACTATAACTGGCCATGTTTTTCAAGAGGCTTTGGAAATGGTTTGTGGGCAGAGTTTGGAAACATTTGGACATGTCGCCTGTATGCATAGAGCTGGAGCAGCTTAGGCTATTCTGTAGAGGAGATTCTGGTCAGAGCTCAGGAGACCAGAAGGCTGACAGAAAGCCTAATGGTAAAGACCAGGCTTGGGAGGTTTCTGCTGGGAAGATATTGGTTGTTGGGCTCCACATGATGTGTGTTACAGCTTGGCAGAAAGTTTGTCTGCATTTGGTCCTGCTCAGAGACTTTGCCTGAGACTGAGACAAAGGGCAATGGACTGATTAATCTTGAAAAAGAAATTAAAAAGCAATCAAATGTTGAGGGTGTGGCATGGCTATTGTTGTTGGCTTTTAGTGAGCTTTATGTTTCAAATCAAGAGCAAAGAGCCCAGCAGGATAATGTACAATGCTGTGAGTTTGGCCAGAAGGAAAATTCCAGGAAGGCTGTGGATTGTAAAGACAGAGTTGAAATTTTGATTCCTGAGGAAAAACAGAGAGATAAGAAAGATGGCCCTGGGGCATCCCAGGAAGCGGGTCCCCACCCTGTGCAGCCTGATTGCAAAGGTGAAAGAATTTGCTCAGAGAAAAAAGCTACAGAGTGCCATGCTCCAGAATGGTGACAGAGGCCACATGAGTTTCCAGAATGGCGGCAACATAGAGAAGCTTTTCATCACAATCAGGTAAACAGAGCCCTGTGATCCAGGCAGCTAACCCCTACAGCCAAGACAGAGAAAAGCCTGGCTACTGCTTCAGCTGGCAGCAGACCTTGGCGGCATCCACAAGGTGCTTATTTTAGGTGCAAGGAAAATGCACAAATTCTGAGGGTAAGACGGCTTCCACCTCAATTGCAAAGGGCCTGGGAGGCCAAGCAGTGTGCCTCTGAGAGGGCAATTTGTGAAGATGTAAGTGTAAAGCCAAAGGTGCAATGGGGACCCCAGGAGCTTGGAAAATCCGGGAATGTGGATGATCCAAGGGAAGCTGCAAAAAGCGAGCAGAGAAGATTTAAGAGAAAAGCTGCGTGAATTGAAATCTGAAATCGCTGGAAGTGCCGTGGGGGTAGAATCACCCAAGCCTTTTGGAACTTGTAACCAGATTGCTTCAGATGCTGAGTGTGGAACTCTAGGACTTAATGGTTGTCCTGCTGGATGTTGGACTTGCTTTGTTTCCAATGCTTTATATTCCCATTTGTAACTTTTGGAATGGTAATGTTTATCTTGTGCCTTTGCATTTCAGAAATGTTTAACCTTGTTTCATTTGTACAGGAGTTACAGTTAAGAGTTTGCCATAGATGTCGGAGGAGACTTGGGACTTGGACTATTCAGCAACGCTGAAACTGTTAGGACTTTGGCAACTCTTGAAGGTGGACTAAATGTCTTTTGTATGAAGGATGTACATGAGTCCTGAGGGCCAGGGATGGAATGTCATGGTTTATGTCTGTGTCCCCCAGGCCTCATGAGTTTGCATTGTGCATTTGCGATTGGTTCATTGGTTAGTGCTTGGATTGATGGTGTCAATGCTACACCCACATAGGGGTGGAGCCAGAATGTGATGTAATGGCAGGAAGAAGGTGTGTTTTGCTCTTTGCTGGCTTTTGCTTGCTGTTTGCAGCCGCCATGAAGTGAGGCCCAGCCATGCCCGCCTGCCTTGGAGCCAACTGAGTGTGGACTGAAACCTCCAAGAACTGTAAGAAATAAACCTTTCCTTTCCCAACTTGGGCATCAGGTATTTTGTCTCAGTGACGAGCATAAAGTAACTAAGACACTATCTCAAAAAGATTTTTAAAAAAGGATTACAAGGAATTAAAAGGAGTGCAAAGTAACTTTAAGCATTATGGTTTAAGGGCATAGCTTTAAGGGTGAGACAATCACTATAGTGATGTTCTCACAGGTGTATAGATGTCAAGACTTACTAAATTATACACTTCAAGTGTGCAGTATGTTGTATGCTGATTATAACTCAAACCTATAAAAATTATCCTATTTAAAATCTGGATTGCCAACTGGCACCATGTGGACACCAACATAGTGGCTCGACCATATTCAAATGCCTTCAGAGGACATTTTCCTCATGGCAAGAAATGGGCAGGCAACAAAGGTCATTTCCTAATAGTCAGTAGCCACTCTCACTGCTCACCAAGGTATATCCTTGGACCACATTATGATTTAGGTCTAAAACATCTCCCAAAAGTCTCCTGTGTTTGGGGGTAGAGTATGGGTTTAAGAGGCAGGTCACCAGATATATAACCTAGAAGGATGGAATTTTGTCCCCAGACTCTTTTCTTCTCTGTTTCTTAGCCTTCATGCAGTAAACACCTTTCTTCCTCCATGCTATTCTGCCATGCCATTTGTGGCTTGGAGTCAGTCAATCATGTGTTGAATTTTCTGAAACTGTATCAAAATAAATCCCCCCCCCTTTAAGTTGTGAGTGTTGAGTATTCGTGTCTCAGAAATGGGGAAATGACTAATATACAAAATTAGTACGAGAGAAGTAAAGCCATTCTATGATTGACTTGACAATGTGACTCAAAAAATTTTGGAACTTGATCTTGGAGTTTGGAAAGGTTTGAAAATGTTGGCTAAATATGCTTGAGAATGCTGTAAACCAAGCTTGCTGGGTGATTCTGGTCAGAGGTCACAAGGCCAATATGCTGATAGGAATGCAGAAAGTAAGAGCTACCATCAGGTTTCAGTTGGGACAAGGACACTATCAGACAGTGGCCTAGAGTCACACATTAACCATTCTAGCAAAAGTTCATCATATTTTGTTCATTTCTGAAGCATTTGTCTGAATTGAATATATGTGGTGGAGGAAATTTCAAGCCAGTCCATTATTCATGCAGTATCATGTTAGGGTCAAAGGTTAGGATTCCAGCTGCTTTTAGCTAGCTCTACAGAGAAAACCAGCTGTAAAAAGCAGCTGTGTAATTTATGAAGTTTGCAGTTTAATCTGAAAAGGATATGCCTGCAAAAGTAGGGAAAAGTACGGCACAGTTGCTCAAAAGATTAACATTAAAAAGTGATTTGTACAGGGACAAGATGATGATTTCAGAGTATTTCAGAAATTAGTAAGACCTCACCCATTGCAAGCTTGAACTTTTAAAACTAAATCTGTTGGAAGTCCCTCAGACACCTGCTCATTCAGCACCAACTAAAGAAGTATACTTTTAAAGTGCAGCCATTCAGCCTCTCAAATGACACTGCAGTCATAATCTAAGAGGGTCTAGATACTGTGTAAGCTGTCAGTCAATGGTACTGGCTTTTCAATTATGCTGAAAGCAAGATACTGGGACCACAATAGTTTTCAGAGATTTGAGGACTTGGAGACTAGGGAAAAATGTGTGTAGACCACAGTCCCTGCCAGGATGCCATAAAAGGGCAATGCAAGAAGCTGCAGGTGCAACAGAGACCCCAGGCTGCTGCAAATGTTAGGAACATGGAGTTTTGCTGAAGAAAACCACAGGTGATGAGTAAGGATAGGTCAAGATAAGCCTATCTTATCAGTTGTGGGTTACAACCAGCAAAGCCATAGGAAATGGGGCTGCCCACGCCTTTTGGAGACCACACCTTATCACAACCTGCCCCAAATAGAGCTACACAATATAAGGTTTGCCCTGCTGGGTTGTGGTCTTGCTTTGGTCCAATTTCTATCCCCCTATTCTTTTTTGGAATGGGAATATTTCCCCTATGCTATGGAAGCTGGAAATGTTTTATTTTCACAGAGGCTCACAGATAAGATTTTGCCATGAGTTGCAATAAACTTTGGACTTGGTCTTTTTACTGAAACTGTTTAAAACGTTGGTGGCTTAGAGATTAAATGCATTTTTAATGAGATTAAATATGAGCCTTTGGGGGCCCAGACACAGAAAGTTATGACAGATCTTACATATCCCACAAAAGTCTCATATGGTCAGAAGTGGCGACTGTTTGGAAGAAGCACATCAGCAGGATTGAAGATTACATTCTTGTCCCCAAGTCCACTCTTCTCTCTCCCTGTCCGCCATGCACAGAGCAGCCTTCCTCCACTATGCTGCTCTACCTTACATCTAAGCTGATCATATACTGAATCCACTGAAACTGTGAAACAAAATTAACCTCTTCTTTAATTGCAGGTGCCAGGTATTCTGTCCCAGTGACAAGATAATGATAAATACCAAGACCACAATAGCTCACAATCTCAAGGTTCCTGTCTGTGTAACTGAGATGTTAGAGGAAAAACCAAGGGAAGTGTAAGAGTCCAAGAAAAACAAATGTTTTGATGGGACAATTAATGAGTATAAGGACAGCCCTAGAAATCCTGAGAGTTTCTATACACTGATTCACAAAGCCAGTGACTGGAATATTTGGGGCACTTCCCACTACAGTTTACTGCAGTCTCCCTTAATTCCAATTATTCATACCTTTAAAAACTTATGTTTCATTTTTTTTTTTAGTGACATTTCAAGCACTGTTATCGCTGACCTGTACGTCACACTTTGACTTTGGAGAAAGTGGTCCTGAAACAAGCTCCCTCCCAAAACTGCTGGGGAATACGGGACATATGCTGTAACAACCATATTAAATCCACATGGGTCACTGCTGCCAAACTCTGCTGTCTGTAATGGTAGCACCTTCTCTCAAGGTGATATATAGGCCCTCAAATTGTGAAATCAGTCTCACAAAGATCAAAATTCTGACCTAAGATATTTCTGTCAAACAATGGAATTTAACACCTAAAGTGGACTGAGATCTTTTCTTCACCAACCCTTTTGAGGTACATGAAATTCCACAAAGGCTATTCAATTTTTGTTTGGAAGTCTAATTATTTTCATTTTAATCCAGATTGTTGGGGAAAAATCCAAGATGAAAGGTGGTTTAAATTACAATGCCTTTATTATAAGCCACAGCAATGAGACAAATACTTTTCCTGGCCACATGTCCTGGAGGCAGAAAAAGTCTGTGAAAAATTTCATGTGCCAGACATAGTGGCATATGTCTGAAATCCCATCTATTAGGTTATTTAATGCTAAGAATCAAACAAGCCAACAAGTTCAAGGCCTGCTTGAGCAAAAAAGCAAGACCATGTCTCAAACAATGTCATGTAAGACCAATAAGGTCCACAAACAAAACAGACATTCTCTGTAAGCCACCAGAACAGAGCTCAATCCCTCTTGGCTAATGAGGGCCATTTCCTTACCTAAAATACCAGTCAGGAGATTTCAGGTATCTCCCAATTCACTAAAGATTGGACAAAGTGTGCAAATTCCTGCCTTTCCTGGGGATGATTTAGTGAGTAAGCTGGAGAAGTTGAGAGGGTTTCAGCCTTAGATACTGACAGTGATTAACTCTAGAAAGAAACTTTTGAGTAGGACAGAGTGTGAAAAATAAGTGTTGCAGTGTCCTACATACTTAGTATTCATATTTTCAAGTTCAATATCTAATTGACAAATCTTATTGTATTGAAAGCTCCCCTAAAGTCTTCCTGCAGCATGAATTTTCTGGTGCCGAATGAGATGGGAACTTAAGCTATATGCTTTCCCACATTCATTGCACTCATATGGCCTTTCTCCAGTGTGAACCTTCTGGTGCCGAACAAGGTGGGAGGTTCGGATGAAGTCTTTCCCACATTTGCTGCACACAAAAGGCCTTTCACCAGTGTGAACCCTCTGGTGTGCAATGAAGTCAGAGCTTCGACTAAAGAATTTTCCACAATCAGTGCATTTAAAAGGCTTTGACTCTGTGTGAATTCTCTGATGCTTAATTAAGGTATATTTGTGACCAAAAGATTTCCCACAATCACTGCAATCATAAGGATTTTCTCCAGTGTGTATACTCTCATGTTGAGCAAGTGTAGATTTGTGTCTGAAGACTTTCCCACAATCATTGCACTTAAAAGGCCTTGCTCCATTGTGAACCCTCTGGTGCACAATTAAATTGGAGTGATGGCTAAAGTATTTCCCACATTCATCACACTTGTAAGGCATTTCTCCAGTGTGGATTCGTTTGTGTTGAGTAAGATTGTCTTTTCGACTAAAGGTTTTTCCACATTCAGTGCACTCATAAGGCTTTTCTCCAGTATGGATCCTCTGGTGTTGGACAAGTGTAGCTTTTCGGCTGAAGGCTTTCTCACATTCGCTGCACTCGTAAGGTTTCTCTCCACTATGGATTTTCTGGTGCTGAGCAAGTGTATCTTTGCGGCTAAAAGCTTTCCCACATTCACTACACTTATAATGCATTTGTTCAACATGAAAAGCCTCCCTACTATCAGTGCTTCTGGCTGTCTTCCTCTTCATATGAGTGACTTTTTGCTGCTTACTGCCCAAACTGGTCTGGAATTTGTTCTGCTCCACCCCACATGTAAAGGGTTTCTCTGACACGTGAGGTTGTTCACAAACTATCCAGTTCTTTACCAGTGAGGCTTTGCCTTCACTTCTTTGAGAAGGTCTCTCTACAATGTAATGCTTTAGATTTGGGTTAAAGTTTGCACTGAACCAGAATTGTCTCCCACAGGCATCACAGGTGTAAGCTTTATGTCTCTGGTATGTTCTCTGGTGTTCGTCCAGGTGCAAAATATCTTTCAAGACTGAGTCACATATATCACAAGAGTGAGTCACTTCAGTGGACAAACCTGCCTTAGAAGTACTAAAAGGTAACACTGCTACAGAAATGCTCTCCTCAGCAGGTGCCTCTTCATCCTTCACTGCATACCAACAACCTAAAGAGATAAAAATATTAATACATTATGATTTTAGTGAGAAGGGGCAACATATGTGTCCAATGATCTCAGGATTCTATGTCCATGGAGTTGCTGGCAGTACAGGACAATTATTAGAATCAAAGTTTGACATATAGTCCTGGGATCTAAGGGTAACAGATATGGAAGGCCTTCTGAGGGACAAAAACATAAGGATGGGTATAGTGCATGCAAAAAAAAAGTAGGCAGAGTCTTCAGACTAAAGCAATTCACTTTTAGCAGGGCCTGGGCTAGCTGTTGGCGACACGCAAATGCTATTCAAAAATTTGTATCCAGGCCCAGAAATATCTACTTGAAAATGACTGCTATTCAAGGACTACATATACACATCTGGTAACATTGAGGTAGGCCAATATTGGAGTACTACAAAGGAAGCAGTAGAAAACCCTTCAAGCAAAGTGTTCAATAAGGAAGCCATGAGTTATAAATAAGTGTCCATAGTAGGGAAGAAAAGATTAGAAATAAAGTACAGCTTTCAGCCTTGACATCAAACAATACTGAGCACAGGCAAGTTCCTGGTACTATCTGAACACACTCCTTCACTCTCACTCACCAGGGCCTGGCCACGCACCTCCTGTTGTGGTTAGAGTCATGCCCTCTCAGTCAGGCACCCAGGGTTCTGTCTTACAACAGTTCAGCAACCACAAGGAATCTGGAAGATACAAGTCATTAGGAGAATACAAAGCTAGGACAGGTAAGGGAGAAAGCACTAGTCCAGAGTAACCCACCCATGTAAGACCACAAAACAAGAAATATTTATAAGACCTTGGATTGTAAGTAACTTGTTCTGTGGGTTTTCCACAAGACAAGCAAACACTTCTAATACATTTTTACTTGATAAATAAGTGATGCCTTGCAATACGAGTATGTGATGCCAAACATCACATTACCACAACTAAGCCAGTGGTTCCCCACTCACTGCAGAATTGTGGATGATCATATCCCAATCCCAAAAGATTATGGAAGCAGAAAAAATGCAAAACAATCCATCCAAATAAGATGAGCAAGATGTGTATAATGTGATAAACACTACAAAATTTTGTAGAAAAGCACCACCCAAATAAGGCTGTAGCAATGTGACAAATCTGCTTAACAAAAATGCAATGTAATGTTTTCATAAAATCCTCAAGAGGAGGCAAAAGTGTCATTAGATAAAATCTTTGTTAAAAGTGCACAAAAAGAAAAATATTCCATTAAGCCAAAAGATATCAGTGATTCCATTAGTGATAATGAAAGCTGTCCTACACAGTGATCCTCCTCTCATCCCCCTCATACCAGCCATAAAGGTTTTCAAAGGTAAGCAAAGGATAGTTTATTTTTCTTTATACTTTGTACTTTATTATTTTGCACTAGATGACAGCACAATGGCATCTTAGTTCATGGACTTGATCCTTTCCACAGTTCTGGTCACAAACCAAGTTAGATGAGAACCAAATCAAATTCAGTGATTAGATGAAATGCTGACCTTATCGGAAAATTTGATTCAGTTCCCATTCAGCTCAGTTTGTGATCAGAATCATGGACAGAATTGAGTTCATGAACCCAGGTAGTACAGTGTACTGTAATCTTTTTGTGAATATTTTGGGGTTGTGAAACAAATCATCTGAGTTTTCTTTATTTCTGTGGGGAAATCTACTTTGATATACAGGGCTTTGGATTATAAGCATGTTTACAGGATGCATTATGCTCACAAACCAAGGTTTTATTGTACAATAAAATGAATGCTACCTTAACAGATCAGCCCTGGGGGCACAATGAACCTAAGAACTTAAACTCATGAAGGTGGACCAAGAAAATGTCAATAAGAGAAAGGTGGCAGAATCTTAGGCCCTAAGGCATCATGGGTATGGACAGCCATCTCAAGAGGGCAAGCAGGATGTCAGCCTTTGGATTAACCTTGAGACCCCTGGCTCCCAAACCCTTCCTGGCAAGGCTTTCGGGAAGCAGTTAGGGAACACAGAGAGCAAGGAGACAACACGTAACAGCCTTGGCACCCAAAAGTCCTATGTGAGGGAGTCAGGGAAAACATAGGTGGAGTGCCTATGTTCCAACTATGAAAACACTAATGCCTTGGGACAAAAGACCAGTTGACCTCCGCCTGGGTAACTAGGGAAAGTGGGATCTTCGGAAGACCCTTAAGTGTGAGGCACACAAAGCACTTAACTTGGATACTATACTACTCCCTGAGTCTCATCAAGATGCTTCCAGTTCCTCCAGGAAAAATACACAAAATCACTTGTAAAAGTGGATAGCCAAAGTCGTGGATAGCCAAAGTCAACAAAATGGCCTTGGGTGAAATGGTTAAACAGTCCCTGGACTCAACTCTCCTGTCTCTCATCTCAAGGGATCACAAAAAACAACATGCTTAACGATTCTTCCAATAAATCGGATCTTCAGATCTGATGCCTCTCACCTGTGAGACTTCCTGCACAACCTCCTCCCCAGAACTTCAGACCTGAGTGTCCAGTTGCCTATGTGCTGCTTCCACTGAGAAATACCCTAATTTCTGAGCCCCCTCAAAGATGGTCCCTGCTCTCACTAACCAATTTGCATTCTTTTAGATGTTCAAGAAGAGAAAAAAGAGATAGTTGGATAGCATCTCACTCCCTATATTCACAAGCACATCTAAATCAGCAGAAAGCCCGGTTGGCTCTATCATCAAAATTCTATCCAGAATCTGCCCCTGCTGTGGTCCAGTCACCACGGCCCTTTTGCCAGATTCAGCGAAGCCTCCCCCTATGTCTCCTGCCTCTCGGCGCCTTAGCTAACAAGATGCTCCATTCACCCTCGGTGCAGGCACCCCAGATAAACGCCCTGCCTGGCACAGACTGGCGCTCGAGATTCCCGGTGTGCGCCTGAGCTCAGGCAGGTCACGCCGTCTCACGGCCCCGAACGCAGGTGCCCAGAAAGCAACCTCCCGCCCGCGACCCTGTCCTGGAGCCAGATTGGGGCTGGGGTCACTCAGACTTACCGATTCCGTGCGGAAGACTGCGCGGGGTGAAGGTCCGAAAGGCCGCACCCACCTGCATTAGGCCCACTTTGAGGCGTCCACCACGCCTGGGTCTGCAAGCGGAGGCGGAGACTTCTCGGAGCTGCTACTACCAACTTCTTTTTCGCAGGGACACCGTCTCCTCTCACTCTTTCCTTGGCCTCTCAAGTTCGGAGCAACCCAACAGTCAGGACCGCTACTCCGATGGTTCCGCCCCAGGGCCAACAAGATGTCTGTGAAGAGGAAGGTTCCGGAAGTCCCGCCCTCACATCAAACGGGGCAAGGCCTTCTGGGTAAGGTAGTTCTCGTGGGCACTCGTCCTCAATGACGCGCGGGCGCGCCTGCCTCCAATCAAAGGTCGTAATGCTAATTCTCATAGTAGTAGTCCCGCACGCTCATACCTGTAGTCACTTTGGGGAGCCAGCCTGACAAACAGACTCAGCTGGCCACGAATTGGCGTCAAATTAGCTCCCTGATCTTTTCAGATGTCTCATCTAATCCTTTTCCTTGGCCCAAATAATGGGCCGGCATTTCCAAGAAGCTAAACAAAGGAACTTTTTCCCCTTGAGCTATCTTAGCTCTGGAGAGTTTTGTAGGAAGTAGAAAGTGGATTTCCTGAGATAATAGAGTAGCCATTGTTCGTTTTCATTTATTTGGTTCTGAATGCCCTATAACACTTTCATTGTCTTGAATGGTTTTATACTATTTTGTTATGTTTGATACTATTGTATACGAAGTTATGCTCAACTATTTCAAAGAAAGAGACATTATGGTAGTTACTGTTAATTATAGGTTGTCTTCTGGTGAAATACTGTGTTGCTTACATTGTTCGGTTCCGATCTGCTTTGTGATGTCCTGTTTTGTCTTAATCTCTTTAAAATTAAAAAAGAAAGAAAGAGAGAGAGAGAGAGAGAGAGAGAGAGAGAGAGAGAGAGAGAGAGAGAGAGAGAGAAGGAAAGAAAGAAAGGAAAAGAAAAGGAAAGGAAAGGAAGGAAGGATGGATTTCCCTGCTGGGCAAAACTCTCCTTTTTTTCTGGGTTTTAATGTAGTATGCAACCTATAAAACTGTGCAAGGGAACTTTGCTGATTTTTCTGCAGCCCATTACTGGTTGTTCCCTGACCTGTTTCACCTGTTTGCCTGGCCAAATAGCCAAATCTGAACCAATAGCCTTCTACATAGGAAACTACAACACTTTGCTTTTATATATGACTCAGTTGTCACCACATGTGGTAAGGGAGCCCTCCACTCAAACAATCACCACCCACATTGCCCTCAGCTCAGCCCATTGACTACTCAGTCTAGTACCAGTATGAAACTAAATACTGTTTCTGGCTGCACATCAACAGCCCTCTATTGTGCAGCAAGCCCTTGGCTAGATCTGTCCCTATACCAGACATTTGCTAGTATTGGTAGCAGAATCTTCTTAAAGCAGTTTTCTTTGGTTTCTTGGGTAGATGGAACAATGGAAGAACATCTTCTATATCTATTCTAACACCTGCTTTAACTCACAAGAAAGGGAAATTGTGTTCAGTACTCTGTTACTCTAAATGTGCTGTTAGGGCAACATTGGCATTCAACTGGAATCTGTCTTAGGGTCAAACATTTATAAGGCAGCCACCTGAACACTGGGTAGGTGGCTTTGACATTTACAGAGGCCCACCTGGTGACTGACTCACAGGCCTACAAGGTCACATATACACCTGTCACCTGCATCTCTATGAAGGAATAGAGGTCCTCTTCTCCCTTCTATAATTGTGACTAAAATTCTAAAGGATTGTACAGCTATTTTGTGTGCTGCCAAAAATCACAACCAAAGCCCTCTGCAGTTACATGAATGTCCAGTTAATAGGGGTTCCTGGTGACGGCCATCTGAAAGGTTTGTGTCTGCTGCACACCATTTGCCACCCCAAATGTCTGCCCAGCATCTCCTGCCTGGCCTGCTTGGCATCCTTTGCCCTATCTACCTGTTAAGCATCTTCTGCCTCCTCTCAAACTATACCCTTTTTACTCAGGTTATACAAGAGTTTTAAGTTTTGGATTAAATGAGGAATAAAAGTTCTTTAAGACCTTTTCACTGTGGCAGAGAGAGGACACCTATAGGTTATGTATAACAGCTTTTGTTATTGCTTCGGTCCAGCCCCAGACAGCTCTGAAAAACTTGACAGAGAGCCCAGATCCCTGGACCTTGGCCTTGCCAATGCCCCTATACATATGTTGCCAGGCATAGCTTGAAATCAGCAGCTGTGTGCGCCAGTGTCATGACCTGCACAGATTTCAAATTTCCAGGGGAGATGACTATGAAGGGCAATGAGAAGGTGAAGAAATAAAGACAAGACACAGAAAACTTGGATCATAAAACTCCTCTCTGGATGGGAGGAAAGGAACTGCTCAACCGCTGTACTGTGTTTATTTATACATTTGGCAGGTTGGTGTCATGTGACACCCCTTTTGCCTAGCAACCCATTGTATGGATTGTCTGAGGGCTTGGTATTTTCTGGATGAAAGCAGCTTGTTCGTGTGACTTGCCTCTGGTGCTCTTTGTTCTTGGACAGGACTTGCTTCACTCCTGCATGTGTAATCAATTTCTAGCTTTAGCTGCTCCTGCAACTCCAGACCTGAAAGAGAACCAGAGGTTAACAAATCATCAATACAATTAATAACCATGTATTTTGTAGGCCTAGACATGCAGCCAAGTTCTCTGCTATCAGCCCATGGTATGTCGTAGGACTGTCCGGACTGTGCAAGTAGCACTATGGCAACACAGTGAACATTCATTGCCTTTCTTCAAATGTGAAGGTGAATTGCCCTTGGCTCTCAGCAGCTGTGTCTGTAAAGAATGTCACTGTCATCTCAACCCCTAAAAGATGCCTACTCCAAGGGTATGCTCAGGTAGCAGAAAAATATGCACAGTACAAGCTCAAAGAGGCAGGCAGGATACATACACCCTTAGTCACACTCACTGGTTTTACTTTGATGGCAAATATACTCCTTAAAGTTGTGTTGCCAAGTATTTTGTCTTAGAAATGGGGACGTGACTAATATAGGACCCTCATCTTTCAACCTTTTACTTAGCCAGGTTCTTCATGGAATCATTTGTATTAATTGTGTTTGTTGTTTTATGTGTTTCATGGTATTTTTAACACTTTGGAATTCTTTTGGATGGGGAAGAGGCTGACATTCCATAAGCTAGCTAATTCTTCAATGTAGTAAGTAACTCACTTGGGAGAATGCCTTTCATCAGCAAGCTAACCACCTGCTTCATTAGTGGAGACTGATTTAGCACTGCTGCAGATTTAGCACTGTGCTTCTGAGCTTTTAATTTTTTGAGATATGGGTCTCAGTTATTAACCAAGTAGGCAACACTGGGCTTGAAATTGTGATCTTTCTGTCTTAGCCTCCAAGAGTGCTATAGCATGTCCAGATATTTTTTTAAAAGTAAGCACTTTATGATTCCAATCATATACAAACAAATCTATTGTGAAAGACTTAGACACTAAGTCCAGGAAGAACAGAAACAGATCATAAAAGAACACAAGCTAATTGTGATGATGAAGGACAGGTTCATTATCATGACAGTTTCATAGAAATTAGATGCTTTATGTGAAGTTTTTACAAGCTAACTGTATGTCATTAAAACTTTAAACACAGGGCTGGGGATTTAGCTCATCAGCTTAAGTGTCTGCCTGGCAAGTATGAGGTTGTGAGTTCAATCCCTGGTATATAAAGAAAGAAAGTAACAAATCTATAAAAAAAAACCTTTTAACACAAGTTTAGAGATACAGCTGCATGTATGGCTAAGGTTGAAGGATTGTAAATTTGAGGTCCCCCAGGTAAATTAGTGAGAACTACCTCAAATATTTTTTGGTACTAGGGATTGAACTCAGGACCTTGTACTTGCCAGGCAAGTACTTATGCTGATGAGCTAAATCCCTGGCCCTCTCAAAGTATTTTTAAGAATAAAAATATTTAAAAGTGGCTATTGGATGCCATTCCATACTAGAGCATCTGTCAAGTATGCATGAGGCTTTGGGTTCAATCCCCAGGGCCACACATACACACACATACACAAAGCTTAAGTAATATAAATCATTTAAAATAAAAATATAAACTTTTCTACTCTTTTGAGAAAACCAGACAATCTGGTACATCTCTAGGTATATTGCCATCTCTTCCTTCACACCTTAGGTAGAGCTGCTTAGCGTCAGTAACAGAACTTCCTGGTAACCAATGAATATCATTCCTGAGTTAGCAGGAATGCTGGCAGGGCCATAAAAAAGATGACAGCACTTCTACTGTCATTTTTCTGACTATGCAGTAAAAGGTGAACACATAGAGATGCTGAAATCCACAAAACTTTTAGATTATTAGCCCTGAAAATGACTTAAGCTATAAAGGATAAACAGGTATCAAGGTCCTCAAAAGTATGTGTTCTTGCCCATCCTACAAATCCTCTGTGGATACATATTTAGAAGATTGACAGTCCCTCTAGGTGCTGCATTTGCTCCTCCAATGACCCAGGGCGTCTGGACTGTGATGTGACTCTTGAGTTCTGGACTTTGGTATTTGTTACAGTGTGTGACTATGGCAATGAAGAGGATGAATTATTACCTAGAGATGAGATTTAGTTGAATCACTAAAAGGCTCAGAGGGACCATTTAATCAAGAGTGCTCAGCATTTGAGAGACTCTCAGAAGAAACTCCAAAGCTGAAAACTCTCTAGCTTTTATTTAGAATTTCAGTGTAAGTGAAAAAAAGCATAATAAAAACAGTTTGGGCAAGGATCTGTCTCAAGGCTAAGCTGTTTTGGTGGGAAAGGAGAACAACAGCCAAATGTCACTAATCTAAACTTTTGTTTGAATTCTTCCTGCCTTTTTTCTTTTTCTTTTTTTGTGAGATAATGTGTATGTTACTTAGGTCAATTTATTTTTTTATTTTAAGGAGAATAAAACAAAAGAGGACAGAACAAAGTAAATCAGAATAGAACTAAGCAAGCAACACAGCATTTCACAACAAGACAACTGGACATCAACAGTAGATACCATAATGTCTCTTTTCTTCCAAATAGTTGAGCATACCTTCACACACAATAATATAAAATATAACAAAATAGTATAAAACCACTCAAAAGAATAAAAGCATTACAAGACTTCAAAACCAAATAACAGGAAATAAAGAATAGCTATTATACTATCTCATTTTTCTCAAAAAATGTGTCTATAACATCACATAATAAAAACAAATAAAACAC